CACACGTACTCCCACCCTCACACTCACACACATACACACTCATCAAAGTATGTGCAAAAACTTTTCATATGAGCACAGCATCTCCGAATTATGGAGATTGTTGTTGATCCACTTTTCTGCAGCTTTGGCAGAAGTCATTTCGAACATTTCATTAGAATTCCTTTTCCACTATGTGTGTGTGAGATGAGGCTGTAAATACATATCTTCGGATATAATAACCCTGTGGTCTTTTAGTGGCACCACGCAAAATTCCTTATATTGTTACACAAGCATTTTTAAGGATGTTCGTACAATAACAATACCCCAATTAATTGGAGCTTGGCCCATAATTTGGCTCTAGGATTACATAAAATGTCAGTTCAGCAGCAGAGAAATCAAACCAGTGCCTTGCTGTCTGTCACAACCCCTTGTGAAAAATATGCCGTGACCTAACCTTAGTAATAAATTATACATCATATGATTAAAGCAAACACCACCTGAGGAGTTAACCTCTGCCCCACATTAACTAACCTGCTAACTACAGATTAATTAAAGGACATCAATAAACGCTAATGAAGATGAAAGCACTATTGTCGTTTCACAGTTAGTTCTATATTATAGTTCCTTGATGAGACCTTAGAAAAAGTGAAATGAGTTTCCTTGAATTTATGGACAATATGATTTATCTTGCTGTTATTCAGCTGTCCAAAAAAAAAAACAAGTTTCTACACTTTTCATTTGATTCTAACAAATTAAAAATAAAGACAAGTTCGGCAGTTTGGAAATAATTCCAGACATAAGCGACTTGAGTAGCAAGGAGCAGCAAACGACACGCTTTACGTAACGATTACTGTTTACTAGCTGTAAGCAGTGAGCCTGTTAAGCAGGTACTCTGGTTTTCCAACTGATTACGCTCTGTGTAAAAAAAAACTCAATAACAGTGTAATAAGTATATTTGCTTTAAAAGCCATTTTATATTTAGCTGCAGTTATGATATTCGCTAAAAGGTTAGTGCAAACAATGATAATATTAATCAAACCATGAAGTTTATTGACACTTTTTGTTACCCCTTCTGATTCTCTGCTTTAAATGAGAGCATTTAGATAAGCATAAATCCTGTGATACCGTGAAGCAATGTTTTTTATTTTTTATTTTATCATACTGTGGGATTCTAATAGCGCTCCATGCCTTTAGCTAAGTCAGTTACTTGATTGCCAAACTAACCTCTTCAGCCTGAAGGGTTAGGATATCATGGAAATTTGATTTAAAGAGACAAGAAATATGTATTACTGGGTAAGCCCCATGACCAAATAAAATAATATACTACAGGACATATTCCATTCATGAGAATGCCTTGTGTGGGAATCAAAGAGATATGAGATATTGGCTAAACTGGAGCTGTCTGCATCCAAAACCCAAATGAGGTCCAATCATACAGTTTTGAGCATTCTTTGCCCTTCAGTTTAGTTTGTGCTCCTCTGTTGGGATCCAAAGTGAGTGACTTTTGTTTAGTGCGGGCTGTTGTTCCTGTTTGTGCCCTTCTCACCATGGCTGCCTGCTTGCCGCCTGGCAGCCCCGTGTGTCAAAGGTGGCTGCTGCAGAGCAGACTGTGGGAACAGCCGGTTAGCCTCCCTCGGTCTCCTGCTCCCCGACCAGAGGGGCAGCGATCAATCCCGCACCCCCGCCCCTTCCTCTGAACACACATACACATAATCACAAACACACAAATGCCCGAGCAAACTCGTACTCACACAAAAACCCTACAATGCTCACACCCTTTCCCAATAATCCTCGGAAGCAATTTCATCTCGACTCGGGTGGCGGCCCATTGTCGCCAGCCCCTTCAATCTTTCCTTATTAACTCTCGCTTTGTCCCGCATCCGAGCTTCTGGACTCATCTCTTCTACATTCCGATCAGTGCTGCTCTCAGCACTCCCAGGCAACCTCCATTCGCTAATCCCACTGCCTCCCCCCTGCCAGCAGCCCCACCCCAAGGAGCCCTTACTGTTTTTTTCCAACCTGCCGATCACCTACTTGCAGAGTAAGGTAGGGGCATTAACTCCAAGGGTTTTTCTGAAGGCAGAGCGTGAACGCGGGGCGGGAGAAAGAGGAGGCGGGCACAAAGTGACTCCAGCCCAGACAATTAGAACAATGAGCCGGGCATGTAGGGGGCTAACTCGCTGCGTCACGCCTGGACGGTGGGGTATTTTGTCAGTTTAATGAATTGTCCGCCAGGGCAGGGCCACATTGCAGGCCGTGCAAGGAGAGGCCAGCAGGGACCCAGACACTAAGTCGGTATTTATTACACTGCCTTTGTCACTAATTGAGCTAATTATCACTGACTCCTCAGCACTCCCACAGGCAGCACCCCCTCGAATCACTGTCTCTAACAGATCTCCCACCTTTCTCTCATGACAGGGGTGTGAACTCTGCTTTTAGTCTTTTTTTTACAAACTGCTTTATTTCATCGGGATTTAATTCTTTCCTCCTTCTGCCTTTCGTTGGTTTGTACATTGTCTTGCAAAGGTATTCATACCAGCTGAATGTTTTTCAAATGGTTATATACCTAGTTTCTTACAACTACAAGACTCTGTCTATTCAACATATTCTCATTATCAGTTCGTATGAAATCGTACGAAAAGCTATGCACAGTATTTCGTACGTTTTTGACGTTTTTCCTCAAAAAAACAGATCAGTGCGCATGCGCAGCCAGACAGACGAAAAAAGCAGATCCGCGGACGGACGTAAAACTGGGAAAAACAGTGCAATAATTTCTTCTTGATGTCTCTAACTAGGTTGCTTGCTGTTTTGTATCTTAGGGTTAGGGTTAGGGTTAGGGTCAGGGTTAGGGTTAATTGTATGTTAAATTCTATGTTATGGAATGGTGCGTAAGATGAGCATGCGCAAGGATATCTTGTCTTGGGGCAAGACGTAAAAATACGACGAAAAAAACGTCAAAAACGTACGAAATTACTGTGCATCACTTTTCGTATGATTTCATACGAACTGATAATGAGAATACACTGTTCTATAATATCAGAATTTTAAGAGACAGATCAATATAAAGCAAATACATACTGCCGAGGCCTTTAAATTGCAAAACAAAAATCCCAAGCTTGAGACATCTCACAGAGAACTGTCTAACCCAAGTTAAGAACAGGGAAAATTGTGTGGAACATCTTTAGACATACATGGTTTTTAACCTGAGCTGATGGTCCTGATAAAGCGGGCATGAATCAGATAGGCAATCAAGGTTAGGTAACGCTGGAGAACCTGCATCAACAGCTCAGGTAGGACAATTTCTCAACAGAGTAAATAATCCTCATTGAGTCCATTAAATCGGCCTGTATGGATGAGTAGCTGGATGAAAACTTTTATTCAAAGACATCCCCAAAAGCCATAGTGGGGAGCCAGTATCCAAATGGGAGAAGGTAGCCAATAAAGAGGAGACGAAAAAAAATACTTTTTAGCCTACATACTAAATATGATCTGTGATTGGAAACTAACACTGCTGATGAGTGAACACAGCATCCCCACAGTGAAACATGGTGGTGGAAGCATCAGGGTGGGGGTGCCTTTATTCAACATAGCACTGGTTATAATTTGTGAGAGCACAAAGAAAGCTAAATACAAGACAGTAATGGATGAAAACCTGCTTGATGCTGCAAAAGATATCAGGTGCTCAGTTCCAGCCATTCAGAATTCCTGCGTCTTACCACTTTTAGATTTGTCTCCTATTCCAGCCCTAAACCAAATCACTGAATTATCTCTTCAGTGTGCAGTAAAGTTCTTCAATCTCACTGACCTGATCATTTTTCCAGCTGTTTGGAAGTAGAGAGAAAACTAAAAGTCATATAAAATCTGCACCTTAGAAAATGATTAAAAATGAGTGTTTAAAGATACGCTACCTCCAGTCTGACTGAGGCGGGGCTATTTTTATTCTGACAAGACTTTCAGTCCCAGGATGTGGAAATATGTCAGATGTATACTTTAAAAGATTTGCAGCTATAATTGCCAGAACATTTTGCTCCATTAAATCTTTTACCTGAGAGGTTAAAACCCAAAGTATTCCAAGGGTTTTGTGTTTATTATTTGTGATCTTATAAAAAATTGTTTCTGCCTTTTCTTGATCTGTCAAGTAAAAATCTAATCAAATGAGGTTTGTTATTTTAGTGTGACAACATATGAAAAAAAACATTTGAAGTGTTAAAACATGGCTGTATTCCTTTGTTAGGGCTATATTTCCATCATCGCTTTTAATCTTCGATTATTACAATGGCAGCTGAGTCACTGACAGGTGTTTTTTAAACGTGAAAAAGTTTTCTGAAATGCTTTTTTGTGTGCTTATCTTCACCGTTTTTGTTCATTTGTTTAAACTTTTTCCCAATATTTGTCCACATCCAAGTGATTAAACCCTTAATTTTTGCAAATGTTGCTGATTTATTATGTGGTTCTGTTTGCATCCTTTTTATACCCACCATGTGTTGTCAGAAAAACCCTGCTTGCTCCCATACTGCTCCTGGTTAAAGAGTGAAAATCTCTCCAAGACTCTGTGGTTAGTTATGTTGCCAAGTCCTGAACAGGACTCTGGTTTCCATCATTTTTTGTGTTCCTTTTCCCCCCCGTTTTAGACATTAGGCAAATGAAGCAAAAAGCCTTCAATCTACACCCATATACTGTATGAGATAAGTTATGTGGCTGGATAAGCAGGGCCTGTCTCTTTGCTTCAGAGCACAGATGCAGGGATGCTTTGTGAGCCTGCAGAAAGAGGCTGCTTTGGCAGTGGTAATAGGATTAAGAAAAGGACACCCAGGGACCAGCTTATGTGTTCACTTGGTCTATTGTCAGACTTCTTAAAAAAGAACAGAACGCATATCAGACGTAAGACCATCTCAGACACATTTAGACGAGTTGGCTTAATTGAAAATATAACCTTTATTTTTCTATCATACAGTAAAAAAGAAAAAAAAAAACAACTAGAATCTGATTTATTTTTATTGAAATCTAAAAAAAAACAGCTCTTACAATAATCTATAACAGTATAAAATCATTAAAAATAAATATTTGCATTTACACTCATAAAAAAGTAAATATTCAGTGCATGACCAAACAAACAAGTGTTTTGAGCAGAAAAAATAGCACAAATATTCTCTGGTTCTAGCAAGAGTCAACATTTGTCTGTTTTATTAAAGCGAAAATTGATTTTAAAAAAAATGTCTCTATGTGTCCTGACTTGACTCCAGTCATGCTGTACAGTCACTTATGGGCGCATTAAACGTTTAGCAAAAAGAAAGCGACACTTTTATAAATATATTCTCATATGATAATACTTGCATCCAGTGGCAGTTTGTGATATGGTCCACATGGGCAGAAGCCCAGGGCAGAATTAGAAGTGGGAGGATGGGATGGAAGAGACAAGGTTTCCTGCTTCCTACCAACTGCACCGCATTTGATTCTGTCCCAGAAACTTAGATAACTGCTTATATTTGGTTAGGGAGGTTCAGAGATAAAGGCTTCACCAAGGCCGCACAAAAATCTAAATGGCAGTTTAATTATTTGTAAAAAGTTTGCTACATGTTAAACATTTTTTAAACACATACGATTTTGAATTTAATGTTGGATGCTTCTATTTTTTCTCACATCACTGCTCATTGTTGATTAGTGCCAGTTTTCATTCTTCATATTTAACATGTTTCTCAAACATTTGAAAAAAAAAAAACATTCTATATATTCATAAAATTATTAAAATTATGCAGTTTCCTTGCTGCTCCTGATCACTTTATCTGCATTTTTCCTAGACAAACACCTTTACAATTCTGTGGTTGCTTTAAGTGGCAAATTTGTTTTGGAAATTTATTTTGAAAAGGTGGCAGAATCCAAAGAAAATCAGAAGCATCCCAGTTCTGTGTAAACAAGGGGACAGCTAAGTGTGTTGCTATCCTGGTAATAAGGGTGCATCTGTAGCCCCCTGCTCTGTGGCTACACAGACATCCATGAATGGCTGCAAAAATCTTTCTCTAAATCCTTTTATTCCAATATCATTCTTAGTGTAAACACCTCAGGGTTTTGAGGAATTTCTCTTAAACATAAATTTGTGTCCAAATATTTGTTAGAAATAAAGGCAAACATAAGCACCTGTATACCCTGTTCATAGATTTGTGCTTTACTATCTATTTCTGAGACAAGGGTAAAGTTTTTGTTTTATATTACCTGAATATAAACTTTTTATTCTCCTCCAGTCAACTCGGCTAAGAGCCTCTGCTTCTTCTGCTTAGATAAAAAGTTCTTTTTTTTCCCCTCCGATACATGCCCAAATAACCACCCAGATCTCCTAACTTTAATCATAGACACTGATGTAATGTCCTGGTGCTGGTGCAGTTCAAGCAGCTGACGTGACAGCACCAGTGGAACGTGCAGTGGCAGCGTTCGGTCACACTCTCAGTCTGGGCCTTAAATCCACGTCCGCAGCACAGCAGCTCACACCCATCCAGACCTGGAGAGGAGCTGTTACATGTTCTCCCAGAGGTTCCCAAAGTGCCAGTTTTGCCATTGTAGGAGCAGAAGTTTGGTGATTTCTCAAAGTAGACCAAGTCCATGGATGAAGGGGGTTTGTGGGCTGGGTTTTCTGGTTCCAGATGTCTGGGTTCAGCTCGGTGAGAGGCACGGTTGCTGCCCTTGTTGGCATACACAACTCTGGATGCCCCGTCAAAGCGTTCCTTGAGAAAATCTCCCACCGTGCGGAAACTTGGCAGGCGCATCCAACAGGTCCGCACTGTGCAGGAGCCGGACATGCCATGGCACTTACACTCCTGGCGCATCTCTGAGGAGACAATCTATTAAGAGAGGAATGAAAACAAAAATCAGAAAACTATATGATGCAAAATGTTCCCATCTAACTGAGCAGTTAATTGTTACCATTCTTCCAGCTTTGTTGTTGTGCAGGTTGGTGAGGTAACGCAGATCCCTGCCCTTCTCACTGGAGTCTGCAAACTCACGGCTGAACATCCTTCCAAAATCCACATTGTCACTGCAGCCCCCCCAGTGCCAGTCTGGGCCTCCAGGACCTCTGCGCCGATAATCACATGTGCACGACTCAATAGCTCCTTCTGAGCAAGATCGAGCAACAGCATGGGTTACTCCGGCGCTGGTGATGGCAAATAAAAACGCAGTTTCTCTGCAACCTAAATAAGCAATGAAACTGTATTAAAAACTCACAGAGCATACAGATATAGATTTTACTGTTCTGGCTCAAAGTTGGAAGGTATTTAATAGCAAATGTTCACAACACATCCAGCTTAGAGCTGTCCAAATGTCCCCTGAAGGGAGAGACAAGAAAGACTCACCACGGTTGACAATTTTGCCAAAAACTGCTGAACCGTGGGTGGTTGGGCAGTTCCAGCGGCGGCTGCGGAACTGCCATTTGCACTCCTTTATGGCAGTGTGCAGCCCTGCTGCGATGGCATGTAGGATGCCAGGATTCTGCCGAATCAGCCTGCGCTGACGACGACTCAGGAGGGCCAGGCTGGGGTCCAGGACCAACTGAACACTTTTGGAATTGGTAAGGAGGTTGGATGAGGAAGCCACATTGACAATACCCCTGAGATGAGGACAAGAAGAAAATTAGACACTCAAAGCTGTCACTTCACTTATATATTTCTCCTACTGACCGTCTGAACTGGGCAGTAGCATAATTTTTTCTTAATGTAGAAAGAAAACAGTGTTATAAGAATTTGTAATTCCGTGCCAGTAATGAATGATAAACTATAATAAGTCAGCTTTGGAAACACAAACCTGTGTAGCTGTAAGTGCTCTCTTGGCTGTTTAATCATTTTCTACTAGTCCTTAAATGGCAGTATACCAATAACTTTTTCTATTGTGCACTATTTAACTTCACAGCAGTACTTTATGTAACTGTGGCAGTAAAGTGGCCCACTTAATAAAGACTGTTTTATCTTTAGATGAGATGTGGGTGAGAGATTTATAGTCCAGAGCCTGTAATTTTTTTAAAGAATTTTTTACCATCACTTTTATCATAATAAGAACAAAAGCCACAAAATCTTGTGGTAAACTCCTCAGGACACATTACCAACCCCTACTCTGAACTCCCGCATGGATGTCAAAGGGGTCTCGTGGGTTGTGTGGTGGCTTTGATAATACTATGTGCTATGATGATAAACAGTGACACATGTAGTCTAACACCACAAGGGAACTTTCAGGCTCTGGGTGATAATGTACGTTTTGGGGAGTGTTGCCCTAGTGGGTTAGAGTAGAGTACTTGTGCTCTGAGAAGGTTGCAAGTACCCGGTTCAATCCCCACAGCCTCCACTCTGGGTCCCTGAGCAAAGACCCTTAATCCTTGGGCGCCGCACAATGGCAGCCCACTTATCCCCAAAGAGATGGGTTAAATGCAGAGAGTGAATTTTGGGGGAGTGTTGGTCTAGTGGTTAGAGCAGTGCACTTGTGCTCTATGAAGGTTGCAAGTACCCAGTTCAATCCCCACAGCCTGCCCTCTAGGTCCCTGAACAAGACCCTTAACCCCCATGCTGCTCCCCGGCACTGCACAGTGGCAGCCTACTGCTCCCCAAAGGGGATGGGTTAAATGCAGAGAGTGAATTTCATTGCTTTGTACTTGACAAAGTAATGACAATAAAGCTGCATTCTCTTCTATTCTATTTTGTCTTCTTCAAGAATCATGTGGACTATTGAATAAATGTAATTTTTCTAATTATAGACTGTATCAAATAATTTACTTCTTTCTTTTAAAATCCTAGAGAAAATGCATATCTAATCATTGAGCCAAATATAATTTAGGTTTCTTTGATAAAAGAAATCAGAAAAATAAAAAGAAAAACGTGATGAATTTCTTCCATACCTGAACCATACAACTCTTAAAACTTTTACCATCTGATTCGTTGTTTTTTTTTATTATTGGATAACTTTATTTATATATATACATTTTTTTCTAATCTTTGTGGTCCAATATGGCACCTGTGCTTCCTCAGTTTCGGGTCAGTGTTTGACCACAAAGCAGCCTCTAAAACTACCCTCTAGTGCTCATGTTTCAGATAATTCTTGGAGTTGCAATGCTTACATTCTTTGGATTTTTCCACTTTTTTTCTCACATTATTGTTATTTAATTCTATATTGCCTTCTGCCAAGCTTGACTCTTGGAGAATAATTAACGTGTCTCTTGATGAGTATAATCTTCCACCAGAAAAAAAAAAAAAACAACAACAAATGTGCCTGCAAAGAGGTTCTGTCTCAGTAATAGGGCCTGGGATAATAAAAAATAATAACAATTCACTGTTTAGGCGATTTTTTTCTCCCCTTTTCCAATTTTCCCCTTTCCTTTTTTTCTCTCCAGGATTTCATCTGGCATTTGAAATATTTGAAATCTCAAATCCAGTCACACCACAAAAGAATTGTCGTTAAATTGCCCACATCAACACACCCAGTTCTGTTTGCTGTCTTTTAAACAAGCAAGACAATAGGCTAAACCATGCATATCGGATTATATTTAAACATTTCTTTATATATATCAAAATAAAGAGTGGTTCCCTGAGTTGGTTTTAAGGGTCGCGGCATTGGTAAACGAATCTGCAGACAACTTCCTGATCCAAATATAGGAGCCCATCTGCTATAAAATAAATCCATAATCTAATATGTTGCATAGATGTAATACATAAATTGAAATACAAAAGTTAAAGAAACATTTTCGAAAAATCGAAAAGGAAAAGGGGGACAGAAAAGCATAATTGAAAGAGCTCTAATTAGTCGCTTCAATAAGCTGTTAATTAAATCTTAATAACGAATCATTAAATTAAAGGGGAGCAATTTGCTTCAAACTTCAGCAAAATCCCACAAATCTTATTGCGGTGCGGTTTCTCCCGTCTTTCTGCAGAAGTTGTGCAGAGTTCCAACACAAACAGATTATTTCAAGCTTCCAGTGGAGGAATGCGGTAACTTGGTTAAAAAAAAAAAAAAAAAATCGTATGCAAAGTGTTAATGCAAAGCAGCTCTGGATCCAGGATGCTGCAGGCTGCTGAAACATCCGAGGGAGGGGGAGAGTTACCCCGCATCCACTCACCACCACCGGCCGCTGTTGTTCACGGCCCCCGTGCGGGAGAGCGAAGACACCAAGAGGATGCAGGCGGCTTTCACTCCCAACAGCAGAGCCAGACTCCTCATCGTGGCTTCCTTTCAAACATCCTAGATGGAAAATTCAAACTTTACATTTTCCCCCTTTTAAGGATCTTAATTGATTATCTGCTAAACTGTATTAAAGCACAAACACTCACCGTTGAGATGGTCCTAATTGACTTAAATGGATCCTGAGTGGAAGCAGGTTGTTGAATGATGTGAAGTGTCCAGGCAGGATGCTGCTGCTGTCCTCTTTACTCTGTCTCTCTCAGTGATGCTTTGCGAGACGCAATGAACGCGTGGGACAGTCCCGAAGATTTGATCCCCTCGGTGACTGATAGGCAACACATTCTTCTCTTATTGAGCGCTACGAGAGGAATAAAAAAGGGATTTGCTGCTCTCATCTCCTTCTGTTTTTTTTTTCTTTTCCTCGCTGCCTTTTCAATGGGATTGGAGGGAGGGATAGTTAATGCTCTTCATAGGGGCGCACAATGAATGAGGAAACACAACTGAGCAGAAAAGTGAAAAGAAAATTAGTTTTTTTTTTAGTCCACATCAGTTTTACGCGTATTACTTGTGGAATCTCATGTCCGTTCCTTGGGAAAAAGCCTGCGTCTCAGAGCGTTTCCTGGACTCTTTGCGCGCTTTTCTACCCAACGGGTGAAGAGCCCGGCTGGACGCGCTGATGTGCTGCTGCAGATGCTGAGGGTGCGTCCGCTTTGCTGCTCCACCGCTGCTATCTCTGCACAGTACAGTTACATACGGCGGAATATGAGCCATCTGAAACTGCCCTTTGAGCTGCCTACTCCCTATAACCGCATCTCCTCCTCTCTGCAATCCTCCTTCTAAAACATGCACAGGGTGAAGCTATAGTTGCACCTTTTCTTCACGAGTTATGTTTTCTGGAAGCGCCTTTTTTGGGGATAATTAACCTATATATCGTCCTATATAAATTGCGCGTAAAAGGCAAATTAATGCTGGAACAATATCACCCACCACAGTTGTCATATTACTCATACTGCATGCTGGGCTTCTTAGATATATTTCAAATGTGGTACTGATGAAATATGGCCTCCAATCAGAAGTTTGATGCATGATGAAGCAGGGAAAGAGGGGGACGAGTAAGGATAAAAAAAGAAAGCAGCCCTAACATCTGGCTTGCAGACCTCCCTCGATGCATGAGTAGCACAGTGTAATCACAGCTTGAGCCACTTTGCGGCATCTCCATCAAACTATGACTCGGAGCGAGTCAAAATGTCCCCAAAACTCCAGATTTGGAATGAATGTTTGATTATGTGTCACATATCTGCTGATGTTCGACTGATCTGCTTCGATCCTCTTTGTCCCTTCCTCTCCAATTTTCTCCCACACCCCTGGATGACAGTAAAAGGAAGTGGATAAGTAGAGAAAAAAAAAGCTTTAATGACAGCCATTCCACGTTTATACCCCAGCTTTATATATATGAAGGTGCTCAAAGGGGTTTCCTGGAGCAGTCATGCGACACCGAGCAGATTAGAGCTTCAATCCGGATAAAGGGAGCCTTTTATATACAAATCAACTTCAAATCACTTTTTAAGCCACTTAGATATACACACCAAGGCAGAATGCTAATGCACTTTTCATTGCTGCAGCTTAGGGAATGGAGGGAGATTAGATGAATTGGTGTCACTAAGCGAACCGTGTTCGATGGGGGGTTAACTTAATTTTATGAAAGTTGTATGCACCCTTTATTGTACCTAATTTTAAAAGGCCATAGTCAGCATAAAATAACACTTGATTAAACGATTCTGTTTAAAGAAAATGTTTTTGGAAAGTCACAAATATTTTTTTCTTATCCAGTTGCACTTCAGTTAATAATTAGGCCCATTATATGTAACTCCAACTGACAGGAGTCTGATCTGTCACTTGAAATGTTGGCATGGGCATTTATACTTTGAGCTGCTGAGGACTTGCGTTGACAGAGTTAAGTTGTTTCAAGAACAACAAGGAACAGCCGCTCTGATGGAGGTGGGAGGTGTGGGATGGAAGGAGGTGGGAGGGTGGGCGCATGACTAAAATCAGTATTGTTGGAGGGTCTCTTAGTGAGCCGCTTGCCTGCTGCTGCCTCCCTGTCGTACAGTGGAGAAGCAGAAGCTCTCCCCTCCCCCGTCTATGAAAAAAATACCCCTTTAAGAATACATTTTCTATACTTTTTTCTTTGTCCGTGATTAAAAAAGGATGTTCCCATTTTGCAACATTGAAATAAATACATATATAATTGTATTTTATTCCAGGTGTGCCAAAGGGTCTTGCTTCTTCTAAGCTTTAGACCTTTGCGCTTGGCGCGTCCGCGCGTAAAAGTTTGGACACACGGCTTTTACGCCCTCGGGAATAAACGCTATCTTGAACAATAATGCAATCATATTGGCTTATATTTCGCAAACAGTCGCCTGTAGAGGCATCCACTCCCCTCCCCTTACCCCCTCTCTCTCCCCCTCCTCCAGTTTACTCTCGCCCCCGAGCTCGTCTCCTCTCCGTCTTCACTACTCGCTCGTTTGGTGCTGCATTGATAAAACTCCACGCATTTTTTTGACCACCTTTTTTTTTGTGATATTCTTATTTAATTTTACGGAGTGTTTACTTCCAAAGTTTTAATGTCCCGTCGCGACAGGCGCTTAACAAAATGGAGATATCAAACAAACTCCGTTGGGATCAATTCCTGATTGTGGCAACAGCACTTATGTCACCTGCGTTAACGTAAGTGCACTTGAGAGCGCCAGGAAGGGATGCGTTTGATGGGGAATTTTGAGGGGTGCTTGTACGTTTAATTAATGATATGACTCAAATTGTGGTTATATATTTTACAGGATTATATTAGAGTAACATAAATCACTGTTTGTCAATTTTGTTTATAAGTCTGAAATATGAATTTCATTTATCCTTTTTGTCTTCAATCTAGCTTTGATTGTTTGCTTTTAACTTTTTATTTATTTATCTAGAATTAGATTTCTGTTGCAACTGTCACTGATCATCTAACGCAACTGCAAATAAAACTTGTGTTTCCAACATAGTTCATGTAACACATTCCTTAAAAGCATTTCACTTTGTAGAACAGCTCTTTAAAAACTTTTTTCCTTTTTTTTAACTGAGGTATTCAAATCTCTCTCCCACTGACACATTCTCTGGATTTGTTTGATGAACCCCTAACCAGCTCTGATGACAAATCCCCACAAACTCCTCTCTTCTCTGCAGGGTGCTATGTAATGATATCCTCAGCCTGAAGGTGGCAGGAGATCCAGTTTTAACCCCTCACTCTGTGTGCCTGAGGCTGGTAGGCCTCAGTAAACGTCAGATGCGGATGTGTATGCGTAGTCCCGATGTGACAGCATCCGCCCTGCAGGGCATCCAGGTGGCCATCCATGAGTGCCAGCACCAGCTGCGGGACCAGCGCTGGAATTGCTCTTCCCTTGAAAGCTTCGGGAAGCTGCCCCACCACAGCACCATCCTCAGTAGGGGTGAGGAGTTTAAGAGAACTTAAACAATACTCAGTAACTCACCAAGAATGTTGGGTTCTTTGGAACAGGTTAATGAAACTTTTAGAGTGACACTGTTCACCATTTTCATGTCTTGGTGTGTGTGTTCACTGGGCCCCCAGGTTTTCGCGAGAGTGCTTTCTCCTTGGCCCTGCTGGCAGCGGGTGTGGCTCACTCTGTGGCCTCGGCCTGCAGCATGGGCAAGCTGCGGGGGTGCAGCTGTGAGGCCAAACGTCGCCAGGACGATGACAAGATCCGACTGAAACTCACACAGCTGCAGCTGCAGACCCTGCAGAAGGGCGGGGTAGGCATCGGCATGACCAAATCATTACCCTCTGATCTAAATGGGCACCATGGGAACCTACCAGCCGACCTACACTCTGCCCACACGTCTGCACTCCTCAAGCCTTTATCAGACGACTTAAGCTCTATGCAGGACACCTGGATGTGGGGGGGCTGCAGTCATGACATGCGGTTTGGGGATCGGTTTTCAAGAGACTGGCTTGATTCCCGTGGTTCTCCAAGGGACATCTATGCTCGCATGAGGATACATAACAACCGTGTAGGACGGCAGGTGAGTGATGTGCTCCTTTATACAATCTAATATATAGTTCCAAGAGTTAGACCCAATAACTTTTTTCACACTTTGCCCCTTTACAAACCTTCATTTATGTGTTAGGGATCTATGTGACAGATTAACACAAAGAAGTGAATAAATAGTGGACGGATAGATATTGATCGTTTTTCACAAATAGGAATCATAAAACAATACTTTATCTGTACCTAACCACTGTCAATTAGACATCCTAAGGTCCAATAAAAAAAAAAAAAACTTACTGGATTTAGAAGCCAACTGAATTTCAAGAAAGGAAACCTCAGATGTTCTCTGACAGCAATTTGTGCACAGTGACCATAAATGTATACAGTGCACAGGTCAGGAATAATATTGCTAAATGTTTAAAGCAGGGTTTGGATAAATACTGTAGCACTGTTTGGTAAACTATTGGCCCTAATAAATGACGAACAAGAACAAAGTAATCATTAAAAACAACAGCCATAAAAGGTCTTATTGAAATTTTGCTACAAGCCATGCTGATCAGTTTGCAAACACAGGAGGTACAATGAGGTACAAGGAGGTACAACGAGGTCAGGTGAGAACAAAACTGAAATCTCTGGTTAAAACGAACAGTACAATTATCCTAAGAAACACCACAATGTCCTATAGGGATGCCTGTGTTTAGCAGACACAAAGAACTTGGTTAGTTAGTTGATCAGAAGATGGTTAAACTGAATACTAGGGGAAAAAACTGTTAGAGGGCTAAAAAGAGTTGAGATTGGGACAGAGGTTCATCTTCCAAGAGAATAATGACCCTAAACATACAGCAAGAGTTAAGATGGAATGGTTTGGGTCAGAGGGCTTCAGCCTTGGTACTCACGTCCACTGTCCAACAGGTTTTAGGTACTCCCTTACCTCCACACACCTGACTTATTTACAAAGGAGAGATTAAGAGACCTCTCCAACCCTTAGAGCAGGGGTGTCAAACTGGTTCCAGAAAGGGCCGTGAGGCTGCAGGTTTTCTTTCCACCAAGCAATCGCACACCAGACTCCAGTCATCTCATCAAGTGAGTCCAATCTGAACATGATGACTTGATGAGATGAAAGAAGTCTGGTGTGCTATTGTTTGGTTGGAAAGAGAACTTGCAGCGACACGGCCCTTTCTGGAACCAATTTGACACCTCTGCCTTAGAGCATGCTAAGAAGGAAATGCAATCATTTGCTTCAGGTGTTCTGAAGCAGAGACACATGCTGATGGTGGGCCTTGCGGACCAGGGTTGAAGACTTCTGGTTTAGGTCAAAGCAAGTATCCATGGGATAGAATGGTAAAAGTTGAATTTCAGACCTAAATCCAGTTGAGCGTTAAAAATCTATGCCAACCAACTACCAAATAGGACCATAATTAAAGTATGTACCTCTAAAAAAGCTGGTAGAGAATTACCCTAACTAGACTTTGAGATTTGATTGAATAAAAAGTAAAAGGAACAACAAAATCTAGGATCGTTCAGTTTAATTTGATTGTAATAATGCCACATCTTGATTTTCCTCCCCTTGATAAATGTGCACTACTCTGTGCTGCCTTTCATATTCCAATAAAATATATGTTAAACTTAGAAAATGTAATTTGGTAGAGTATGGCATAAACATGGTACCTGCTGCAGTTTATTTGACCTAAATTCTGGACCTTTCTTTCCACAGATAGTGACTGACAACATGACCAGAAAGTGCAAATGTCATGGCACATCAGGGAGCTGTCAGTTCAAGACCTGCTGGTACGTTTCCCCAGAGTTCCGTGCTGTCGGATCTCTTCTCAAGGAAAAGTTCTTGTCAGCCATCTTCGTCAACTCCCAGAACAAAAACAATGGCGTCTTTAACCCCCGAACAGAGAACAGTCCCCACAGAAGCACTGGGGGATTCAGCGGAGGGCGCCGTCGAAGCATGTCCAGGGAACTGGTGTATTTTGAAAAGTCACCTGATTTCTGCGAGCGTGATGCATCGATAGATTCCCCGGGTACGCAGGGACGCATCTGCAACAAAACTAGCTACAGCACCGACAGCTGCAGTTCGCTGTGCTGCGGCCGCGGGCACAACATCCTGAGGCAGACTCGCAGTGAACGTTGCAATTGTCGGTTTCACTGGTGCTGCTATGTGCTGTGCGAGGAGTGTCGCCTTACAGAGTGGGTCAATGTGTGCAAGTAGATCCAGCTTTTGTTTGGCTCTATCTGCAACTGTTCCAGAGAATCTGTTTATCCTGCTCACTTTGTGTTTTTTTTTTGTTTTTTTTTATGCTGTCATCTGGGATCTATTTTCTCTGCGTAGCCGCTGTTATTCCTAAAATGCCAAGTCAGAGATTGAAGAGGTGACTCATGTCATTTGTGTTACCACGGCCTGTTTAGACGCTGCCCTCTCAGCCATGAGGAAGGCCCGCACTCAAGTGGAGAAATAGCAGAGGAGTGTTAATGTTTCAGCCTTTGCTTTCTTAATCATCTTGTTGTACAGTAGCTGTGTATTTTATGATGTTGTTGTAAATTTGTACATTTATGTTGTATTAATGTGATTATTGTGTCAGAGTTTCATGTTAGTTTAAGATATCGCCTTAGTCATTGACAGAAAGGAAAAAAACAACTTTACCTTGAAGATGAATTGGAAGTTTAAGCATCTTAATTTCTACATCCCATCCCAAGACTTTGCAAGTTTTGTTTTTTTTAGTTCAGTCAGTTAATTTGATTAAATATTAATGAAATGACACACCAAATTCCAATCCATTGTAATGTAATTATACTTTAATTACATTATATCAAAGTTTTAAAAGTCTCATTATCTTAAAAGAAAAAAAAAGAGTTATAAACTGTGGACCATTTCATTTTGCGATCTCTGCGATATAAATAGTGTGCAAGTAGATATGAGCCCATTCCTAAGGATTAAAAAATCATTACTAATGGTCACTAAATCAACACTTTAATTACAAGATGATTTGTGGAATAATGAGATCAAGAATCAAGACTTAATCCTATTATTAACCACACAAAGATGCACATAATAACTAATTGTGCAAAACAAACACAAATCAAACAAAATATTCGTGAAAGTCTATCAAGAGCTGGATAAAAAAGTGGTCTTAAGCCCCATTTTAAAACTAGTCACTGCTTTTAGAAGGAAAAATATTAAAAAGAGAGAAAAAAAAAAAAAACTTTTAAAATCACCTGGTCCTGAAACCTAAAGGGAGATTTAAGCCCCTTACTTTGTTCTGAAATTGGCTTGTAGTTCCCACAGTCCCATAACTCAGCCGTGCCTATTGGGAAATCAGGGCCCAAACAGCTGTGGTTTTGGGTGGGAGATCACTCGGAAACTGCCAAGCTGCCTGTTCTGACCTCGGTTGTTGGAGGTCTTGGTGGTTGCTCCGCCATGGATTTGGACATGTGCTGAAACAAGAGGAAATACTGTTAAAGGGATCTATTTGTTGGAGCTGAATAAGCATCCAAGGCTGATGAATGAAAACTGGGATTTTAGACAGTTTAATTAGGACTACAGAGACATGTTGTGTAGTTGCAATGTAAAACCAAAATATTTGGCCCAAATTTATCTTTAAAGAGGGATCAGTCCTTTTTGGCTCTGAGTGGTAAGCATTATTGATGCTGTCCATGTTTTAACTCAAAGCAGCTCAACTGGAGCTCGGACATCCAGCGAAGGAGACATGGACTAAGGGCAACATGAGAACTACTGCAAGTGAAAAAGTGGAACATTTCTAATTTTCCAAAACATCTTCTGTAGACTGGATGAGACGTCATTAAATAAAGACGTCAACAAGCCACCACTTAAGATAATTAATAGGCGAGGATGTTCAGTTTGCATTTTTTTCCCAAAACATGTCACTTTGAATGAAAAGGCAGATGTATCTATGGCATTCAATTGATATTAAAAGTTATGGCTAATTATAGATAATTCTAAAGATTCTCAGATTCTCTATAATCAGTAAATATCAATTTTAAGTCAGCTATTTTTCCCGGTGAAGTTATTAGTAACAACAGATTCTGTCTGACAACTTCACCCTTCGAAGACCTTCTATTCTGGATTAGGTGTGTTTAGACCGCACCTATCAGCAGGGGCATTCTGAAGAACATGAAGAAAAGCAGTTTTGCAAGAATAAGGTATAATTGTAGGCATTAATATGCACTACAAAAATTACATCACCAAATTCAATCTTCCATAGTTATAAGGGTGTTTGTTTTGAAATCCTAAAATAAACAAGAAAAGGTGGTATAATGTCAAAGGTAGAAGAAAAAAAAACTACCGTGCCTTTTAGCAGATTTATAATCTTTTTTAACCGTTGTGTCAAACTTACATTTTTTTTTCATCATAAAAGTTTTCTTATCAGACAAGGGTAAATGATGAATTCATTATTTAAGGGGGAAAGTTATTTATACCCGGATTTGTCTGAAAAGCCTCTTGCCCTCTAAGCCTAATGACAAGTTGTATCTCCCTTGGTGTCAACAAACATTTTTTTAATATAATTTCCATTAATAGTTTTTCATCACTGTGGAGGGGTTTATTTCACTCTCTTTTGCATAATTGTTTTCTCTTTTTTCAAGTATGAACAGCCTGTTGATGTTCACACCACAGAAGTGCATTAAGGTAAATTCTAGACTTTGAATAGGCCAATCTAAAACATCTTTTTTATACTGGCCTGCTTTTAGTTGCTTACTTTATCCACTATTATCTCATTAGTCTACGTAATTCCACCTTAAGTCCATTGTTTTCAGTTGGCAAATTTCACATTGGAGCGCAACCATGGAGGCATTTTTGTTCATTCTCTTTATTATAGTTGAACCAGAACCCCGAACTCTGACCTAATCTGAGGAAATTGGGGCCCTTAGGGTTTAAATCTGTTTCTAAGATCTTTGTGGCCCTTGCTGTAGATGTCATTGACTATTCTTCTTAACTGTTTTAGACATCTCTAAATTTGAGCCTGATTTTTTGTCCTTTTAAAAATTGTTTTGTCTGATTCGTGTTGTGGGAGAAGTTCTGTTCAAAAGATTTGGTAACGCTTTCTTTTACAGTACATCAACAACCACATAATAACATGGTAATAACATAGCAAGTTACCCTATCTTACTTGGTAACAAGAAAAACTTGATGGAGAATTTTGGTAAGTGATGTGCTTCAAATTTCAGGCAGACAAGATTATGTTAAACTTCTTAGATTTCAAACTGTTATTACCAGGTAACTCACTGACAGCAATAAATGAATGTTTTATTATCTAGTAAAATGCAGTTTATTTTTAGGCATATAACTGAAAACTAAACCTGGAAGACAGCAAGCCAATCTTCTTAACTTAACTCGTATTTATATGTAACTTAAATAAATTTTTATAATGCTTTATTTACCAGATCATAAGTTGCTATTTACTTTGTAAGCCATAGGTAGGTGGTGGTCATTATCAAAAACTGTTATGTGGTAACCTAATGGTAATTACCCACCAAAGGTCTCCATTGTAACATAGTACCATACAATTGCAGGTAATTACTTTGAAATTATATACCTTAATTTGTTTGTAATTACCAAATAATATTTTCTTGTTACCAAGTAATATAATGTGATTTGCTAAGTTATTACCATGTTATTACATGGTTATTGATGTACTGTACTCTACAGGCTGGGTAATGTCCAGCCTAGACATGGTTAATGAAACTGACCTAATCCCCACACATTGGACCAGGTTAGTTTGGATTATTTTTTACTTAATTCAATTAAATCGTCACTTGAAACTATTTACTCTGGTTATCATATGACTTTTTAAGGTTTAAAACACTAAATTGATACTAAAACAACTACGAAAAACATTTGAAAAGGGGTAGAAATTTTTCCCAGCACTGTTTCAAAGCTTTTATGCCTGAAAAGTCAATATATACAAGTTGATTCAATGTCGCCTCCTCTACTAAACATGCTATGTTTCCGTTTTAATCACCCAACAGTTGAAAATAGTCATTATAGCATAATAAATGCTGATCATGTTCTTTATTATTGATTCTTACTAATATGACACAAACATGTCTCCATTTGCTACAAGTACAATGAGATGGGTTTCTGCTTTCTTTTGTATTTCAGTATAATCCTGGTTTCTCTGTTTCACTTGTTTAAGGGCTCTTTAAATTCTTCCCACATGTAGAACATGTCAAAGTGAGAGATGGACCTACTTTAGTCCTGAAATGATGCTAAGGATTGTGTGTGTGTTGTTGTGTGTGTTGGCCTGAGAGCATGCATGTCTGCACTTAATACTGTGTAAATGTGGGGATAAGCTTGATGCACTACAGATTTGGGAGGTGAGAGGCTTTTTTATGGCCACTCCATGCTGAGAGAAGGACATTTTATGGCCGCAGGATATTGTTTCCTTAAAAGTATGACTTTTATTACTGGAGAGCCACATCGAGAGAGAGAGAGAGAATAGAGTTGGTGGCGATTATACCAGTCTTTGCTTTGCAAGGATCTGAGGGGATCATCTGTCCAGAGTTCATAGCCAAGGATGTGACTTGTTGAACCACCCGCTGCCCTGGACCCTCCATGGTTGTTGCTGAGGGGACAGAGAAGTGAAAAATATAAACACAAGCACAGAAATGGACTGGTCTATGCACAAAGTCTAAAGTATGTTGAATCACTGATGCTAATGCACAATCAAAACCATGCACACATGAGCTGTAAATTTAGCAAAATGCTAATGTCGCCATGGGACTTGATTTATGATGACTGCATTCCTGGATATCTTAGATAATCCAAACTGTCTTTGTGCTCAGGCTGCTGGGAGAAGCCTTTCTGTCACATAGGATTTAATGCCAATTAAGTTTTGTTTGTAGGGACACCAGAGGAATGATGGTGCCAGTGGCTGGGTTTGCTCTCCTGGGGTGGGGGTTAGTTATTCGGCTAAGGTATAAGCAGTAGGCTGCAAGTGGCTTGGAATGATAAAGGCCTGGATTTCTGGTTTGCATTGCTTCATTCCTTTATCATTTCACCCTGGAGCTGCTGCATAAGGGAATTTCCTGTCACTGTTTCTCCCATGTGTGAGACAGAGGTTGGGTGGACTTTTTCTCTCTTCCCATTCTCTCCCTCGTCGTTGCACAGACACATGCATAGCAACATAGTCTGCCCCCTCCCCTGAGTAATGACATCCAGATTGGGCTGAAATTAAAGAGAGGCAGGCACAGCGAGGAAGTCAGGAGAGATAAAAGTTACCCTCCTTGACTGACATGATGATTATATGTATAAAGTATGGCGATTTAGAGTGTTTAGTTGGATATAAAGATGTGGGGGGATAGGTCCTCTTGCCCTTCATGCAGCGGTGATGGAGCAGCAGTGGACAAACAGAGTTACGGAGATGGGGTGAATTAACTGTACTGTGTATAAAAATGTGCCTCAAAACATCTGCTTCTCAACTCCCCTAGCTTTTTTTTGATGTGGGACAGGCAGAGAAGGAGAGCGGGAGAGAAAACACAAGGAGCCAGCTACCCAGAACATCAAAGCCCCTGCCCTCAACGTGCAGGCCCTCATTAGTTCAGCTAGCAGAACCAGCGACTCTTGTGATTGTATTTGCTGGGGTGCAGGCTGGCAGACACTTCAGAGGAAAGGCTTCTTTAAGTCATAACTCCCCACCCTACCTCTCCGCCACCACCGGAGCCCGCCGTAACCCCCCTGTAACCCTCGCCGAGCTCCAAACCGGGCCTTTTCCCCCACCAGCCACTCCACCCCATAATCTGGTGTGCAGCTGCAAACATCTGCTCCCCTTTTTATTCCCCTGCCTTCTCCGCTGAATTGATAAACACATCTTTTACCGGACCACTGACTGACACGCAACACAGCGGAAAGAGACAGGCAAATGTTGGATTCACCCATGGCGCCATTCTGGTTTCAGGTTCAGTTATTCCATCACACTGCTTCGGATTTGGCGGATAAATGAGCAACCAGCCAACAAAAACATACTCAAACAATGATGAGTATTGATATGTTATGTTTTGCTGCCTTTTGTGTCACTCTATTATCTGTGACACAAGAGTGGCTTCTGCCAGGAAGTATCACTTGGCATCCTGTTACAGTCAGGCAATGACTTATTCATTAAGAGGATTCCTGTTTTAATTATTTAAGCTTGCTTGCCGGCAGAGTTTCTTTTAATTTGGATTTGTTGTTTGGATCCCTTTAAATAGGAAAAAAACACATTATTTTCACATGGAGGGTTTGCTAATTATATACTGGTAGAGAGTTTTGATTTAGGGTTTAAAATTATAAACAATCATACAATAATTTATACCACTGTAAATATTATATTGTTATTATGATAAATTTTCCAATTTTGCATTCAAGGTTTAACACATTTCTAAAACACATCTGGAAAATGTTATATGTCTAAAAAAAAAAAAAAGTATCCATCCATCCATCTAGAATGACCACTTATTTATCATTTATCTGCACTAAGTGGATGGATCTAGAAATTTAGCCCAGCAAAAGTAAAAAAAAAAAAAAAAGAAATCTAATATCAACATTCTAGAGAACCCTGATCTACATTAATGACATTTATGGGTGGATAATCATCTCTTTATAATTTACTGTCAAATTACAGTTCTATAGTTCAAATAATTTGTGTTTATATTTATAAGGACAAAACAAAATGTATTTTATATAGTTTATAGTTTGTTTTAACATTATAGTATGGAAGAGAGGAATGGCCCTATGATCATATTGGTGTCAATTGTCCATGTTCTGTAATGATTTGTAGAACCTTCATATCTGCTGTTGTTTTACTGTGTTTTATTTAATCCTAAAGAATCACAGCAACTACCAGGAAATGTTACATTACGTAATACTTCCAACTCCTGTCTTTCAAATGTAGTAGTATGTGTTATATAAAGGCTTTGGCCACCATGGATTACTTAATTAGAGAGCAAGCTGGTCTCATGTGTGTAACACAACAAATTTTTTGTGTCTGTCTAAGAGGAAGATGTAAAAACATACCCAGTAACGCAGATGAACTTTGCTTCAAACTTCTTCGGAGCTAAGACTTATTGCCTTTTGTACTTCATGCAAAAGGAGATCAAGTTAGAGGTCATAGGCAAACATTTTTGTGTCTAAATATATTAGGTTTATGAAGGTTTTCTTTACAAAAAGAAGCACTGAAAAATGACACGATATCTGTTAACATAACAGGACACATACATGTATTTAAATTTTTGAACTGAAATACTACATCAGACTTTTTAAAATTACATTCTGCTGCACTGATAAAGGTGAGTAGAGTACCCAAAAATTGTACTTGAACAAGAGTAGCAATACTCAGTCATATTTTCACTCAAGTCAATGGAAAAAGTTGCCTTTAAATAAATTATTTAATTCAGAATAAAAAAAAGGTACTTTGTAAAAAGGCTACTCAAGTACTGATTCACTGGTCTACTTACTGCCCATGATCATAACATCTGATTTAGCATTTTACAAAATGGTGTAAAACAGAACAAAACAGGTGAATTATAAATTCTGGTGTTTGAAATATTGAGCAAAAAATAAACATATAACATGCAGTAATTACACAAAGGTAGAATGAGCACTCTGAAAAAATTCTTTGAGTTATACATTTTATGAAATCTATAATCATAGTATGTAAGTATGGGATAAAAAACAGTATAATGTTTACTGCATTTTGACTCATCCTACAAATGACACAGCAGACTCAGCAGACTTAGCAAAGGGAAAGTAGAAAGAGAAATATCTTTTGTGAAAGCAAAAAGAAAAATAAAAGAAGTGTGTCTCTGAACAGTGGATATTTGTTTAAAACAAGCTTGTTCTTGTTAATGTAAGCTACACACAATGGATGGAGCAGCAAGAAATTTTACTTGAGACTTGGTATACTTTTTTTCCCTTTTTTTTACTCAAGTAAAAGTAAAAAGTACAACAAAACTTCTCCTAAAACCACTTTTTTTTTTTTACAAAAAGCAAAAAAAAAAGTAAATGTAACTGAGAGAATGTATCCACCTTTTGCACATTGTTATGTTTACCAAACAGTTTGCAGACAAAATCATAATGATGTGATTATGTTTGAATGTTTTTAATAAAACACAAATAAAAGGACAGCTGCCTCCCATGCAGTCCACCTGCATCCTCATCAGAGGATGACAAACGTGAGATGCGTTCAGAGCGTCCAATGTATCGCGAGAACACCCTGCTTCAAAATCCTCAAGTCATCGCGAGACTATCATCCAGTCCTTTCGCCTGCTGAATCCAGCTGGTGTCCTGCCTGCCGTTAACGGGTAAGTGTGCGTGAGATTAAAAAAAGGTGGAAATAATGAAAATACATGTTTAAGTTTTGAATTGTGAAGCATTATAACGGTATTTTAAAACGTGTATTTGTGGGTTAGCGTTGATTTTATCGACGACATCCGGCGTACTGGTGCGTTTTTCTGTCGTGACTGTACGGAAAGGAAGGGAAGGGGAGGGGGGGATTACAGAACACACAAGCGTACATTTTACTCCAAATTCCTCAAAATCACGAGCTGATATATCAGCTAAACAGACACACTTTACGCACATGTCGTTTCCGCACGAGACAAACAAGTGGGGAGCTGCTCGTGCTGCTGCAGCATCATCCATCCCTTTATGGCAGCTGTCTGAGCATCCCTCTGCAGCTGCTACACCAGCTCCTGCCTGCTCATTTATACATATCTAATTGGCTCTGAAATATTGTAATGTTTTCCAGGGAAATGAGTGCGATGCATTTTTAGTCCATCAATAAATCCCTTGACACCAAGTGTCCCTCAGGTGAAATTGTCAGAAGTTGAAGGGTTCCTGCAGATCCTTAAAAGGTCTCAAAAGGCATTGTATTCTTCAATATAAAATCAAGGCCTTAATTGGTATTAAAATGTCTTAAATCAGTCTTTCTTAGGTCTTAAAATTGTTACCAAATCATAAATAGGATTTTACTTTTTAATCAATATCAAACATTAAAATAATTGACAATATTTTTCTTACATTTACCGAATTGCTCGCCGTAACCATTATTGGTTCGGTCCAATGGAACCAACAAAAACGATGTTGTGGCCGGACCTTGGTGTGATGTGCCACTAAAGCCCGGCATACACTGTGCGATTTTCGGGGCGATTTTTCAGTCGTGCGACAATCTTTCGATCGGGCCGACTTTCAGCCTGATCGTAAGTCGTGTAGTGTATAGGGGGTTACGAGCGCCGATCAGTCTCTCACGACCACCTCCCGATCAGGAATTGCGAGGTTGCCGACCGTCGTGGGCAAATGGCTCAGGACGTATGTGCAAACAAGGATTCTTCTTTTTATTCTTCCTCTCAGATGTAAACACAGCAGCATGGCAGGCATGCAATGAATGAAATGCAGTTCTGTCTGTAAAATTGAAAGACTGTAGTAACCACGTTTGCTCAGCCATGTCCTTTTTTTCAAAAACGTCGTGCCTGTTCTTTTTAGGACTTTCAGCACAATACCAGATATACCAGGCAGAAAGTAAAGATTTTATCCGCAGTGTTAATGTTTTACATCATGGGTGAAGATTTGTGATATTTTGAGGGTCAGTGATGGCTAGAGGACACAAAGCACCTCCTGAACAGCATCTCTGTAGGTTTTCTAACCTTCATTGATATTAGTGATCCAAGAAAACCAGGTTCAGCTGCATGTGGGGATCGGCTTATTTGATTTCAATCCAAAAGGTGATCTACTAAAGCTCATCTTGCTGAGCTAGCTGTTTCTAGCTCCGACAGAATAGGAGTCAGAATACACAGAGAGGCTGCAGAGCAATAGTGGTGGCCATGCTGACGCCTGTTCATCAAACAAAACAACCATAAGCATCAGTTTCCTTACATCATATGGATGCTGAGTGTGCATTGCTTAAGAAGAAGGCAATGGAGGAAGTGTTTTGCTTTGAGAGTTATTCTACTGCTAAACCTCTGCTCTGGGCGTCCATGTTAACAACTTACACGTGTCACACTTTTCAATGAAACATAATTTCCTGATAACCGTTCCTATTTTCCTCAGTGTTATGACCCTGCCACAGATCTTTATAATGGGCTGAGCAGCACAGCAATGAGTTTTATTTTTAGGGATCAATGTCATGGTGGATTAGTGATCTTTTAGTTACTGAAGGACCAAAATCTCACTAGTCCAGTGGTCATGATGTTATGCCTGATTGGTTAGAGAAATAAAATGTTTATCATTTCTCATTCATCACAATTCCTTTGCTTATTCCCTCCCATCTGAGGTTAAATTCCTAAATTGGTGGATTATGCTCATTTTAGTGGTCAGAGAAACAGCCAAAACGATCAAAAGGCCAAAACAGTTAATTTCTCAAGGTTCTCTGAATCTAATCTCTGTGTGACTTTGTTCCCTAACATAGGCTTGTTCAGTTTTCTGTGTCTAAACATTGACCAGATTATTACTGTAACTATTAAAGCAGTTCTGTTAGTTTTTTTAGTTTGGGGAAGATGAAGGACATCTGACTTCTTAGTAGAGACAATGTTGATGATAATGTTACCTTCCCCCCCTGCTTTTCAGGTATTAATACAAAAATTATGACCATATTTATTTTACACAAACAAAAATAATTCAGAAGGCTCTATATGTTCTGTTGAACTCTTAGTTGAATTCATTCAAACTACCAAGTGCATTTAGTAAAGGCTAGAATCATATTTCTAGATTCAGACAAAACTCTTTTAATCAATTAATTCAAAACAGCTACCTTGAGCTTCAATTGAGTGAAAAGTTAGCCGTTTGCACAAAAGGAGGTTTTTAACCAGAGTTAGATCAAATAAGATTACCCGAAACATTTTTTTCCCTTAGATTTTCTTTTTAAGGTTAAGACTATGTATTTACTGTGTAACACATCAACTAATAAGCTAAGCTGTGCGACCTTTAAAATGAAAATTGATTATTCTGTTTGCTTTGCTTCAGTTGCTAACAAACAGCTGAATGTTAGTTAACCCGTTCCACATGAAAGCTGATCTACCCACAGGCAGACTTTCAGCATGGCGCAGCTCTCTCTCCCACCCTAGTGTAAAAGTAGCTGTTTACAGAAGCAGAGCTGCCTGTCAATGTGTGAAGTGGATTTTCAGCGACTTTCTGCTGTGATGATGCTGATTCACTAATATTTGAAATCCCTGTTTTCCTTTCTGACTGTGGTTCTGACTGTCTAAACGTTTCCATAAGTGTAATGGGAGAAATTGCTTCCACATAACTAGAGGGTAAAGTAGCTGCAAGCTAATCCAAATGATCACCAACACGTGTATGAAAATAAAAATAAGAGTTTTTCTGGTTTTCAGCATCGTCATTGTGTGTGTCAGTATGATCTTCCAAGCTGGGAACACATCAGCAATGACATGTCAGGAGCAGTTTTGTATTTTTTTTTTTTTTTTTTTTTTACTTCATCACAACATGATTAGAGAAAACCTGAGGCAGAATGGCTTCATCTCTTTTGAAAGAAAGATATTTCCACAGTAATGAAAGACAAGGCATATTAAAAACACTTGATATTTTGCTCACTTCAAAAATGCAAATTTATGCCACTCCTGTATTTCCATGTAATAAGAAATATAACCAATATTGTACGCAAATACATTTGTTTACATGACAACTCCTTAAACACGTAAACACATGAGATCTATCCGTATTTTCAAATCTAATGCTCATCACGCTTATCGTCACGAACTAGATGTAAAAGAATAGTCAATCCTCTCATGAATCCTAATATGCCATACTATCATCCTCTACTTCCTGCCTTCTTCTTCATCCTTTCACAAGTGTTTCTATTGCAGTTTTGCAATTTATGTTTTTAATGTGACCCAAAAGAAAATCATATTGAAGCATAAAAACTTCATAAAAAAAGGAGTTTATTTTAAAAATTGCAGTGTTTCCATTTAGCAAATTTTGTTTCGTTATTTCAATTTCAGCAATTTCATGGTTAATGGAGACACAGCTTCTGTCCTATAGACACAAAAATGGTGATCAGTGCTTATTTTGCAACCCCTGATCACTGATATCATAGTTACCCCTAGATTCCACATACTCCGTCAGCGCTCCACTCCACTCCACTCCGCTCACGTACCTCGTGTGGAGTACTTGTCTGTCATGTTAATCAATGAGAACTGTTCCACATCCACCGCTACTCTGCATGTCACCATCCATGTACGTGTTCTCCATCTGTTTATGTCAAAATATGGAGCAAAGCTATTTTTTGCTCTGGTCCGGCCACCAAACAGGAAAAAGAACGTCGAGAAGATCTGGTTTGTCAAACTAAAGTGTAAAAACGTCAGATCGGTAACTACAAATTAGAGCATAATTGTTATATATTCCTGAAAACTAAGACCATTTAATTAAACGATTGGATGCAAATTATTGGTACTTACAAACTCTTATCACAGGCATGAATAAAGAGATGCTGAGTTTGGAAGTAGAGAACAAACATAGTTGATATGATCCCAGTTATCCCTGTTACAAAAATCCACAACAAAAAGAAAATATTTGGGCAGAAACTGCACACATACTGGATGCTGATGGGGATTTTTTTAATATGTCATATTAAATTAAGTGATAATTTCCGCATGTTTTTCTTCTATGAATTATATAATAATAAAGTTGCGCATGCGCATTGCATACTTGAGCTCCAGGGAAGTCGGAGCAGAGCAAGACAGGAGGAACAGCGGTGCTTTGCGCAGGTGGTCTGGAGCGCAGCGGGGCGGTGGTGGAGGATGTGGGATTTCTGGGTTATTGAGCTGACCCTGAACTGAGGTTTTCTCTCTGGAAACTAAAGCCTGGCTGGCAAATCTAAGGCAAAAAAACAAGCTATCTAAATGGCCAAGTCTAAGTAAAGAAACTGGTAAAATATGCATGGCTGTAAATGTAACTGCTTTGCTCCTCACTTGCCTGTGTTACAGTTCGGATACAGCCAAGGTTAGAGTCATCATGGGAAACATCTTTGGGAACCTGTTGAAGAGCCTGATAGGCAAAAAGGAAATGAGGATCCTCATGGTGGGGTTGGACGCTGCTGGGAAGACAACCATCCTCTACAAGCTGAAGCTAGGAGAGATCGTCACTACCATCCCTACAATCGGTACGTGCGGAGAGAAGTTGTAATCATCATTATTAGATAAACATCTGTGGGAGACCTTAATGTAACGTGATTCATCTTCCTGTTCAGGTTTCAATGTGGAGACAGTGGAGTACAAGAACATCAGCTTCACAGTGTGGGACGTGGGTGGCCAGGACAAGATCCGTCCCCTTTGGAGACACTACTTCCAGAACACACAAGGTGAAAATTTTAGGCTTCATTACAAGTTTAGCCAGTGTTTCTTTGTTGTTCTATTTTCTATTTTTTATTAAAAAACAACATATTTAGAAAAGAAAGATTTGAAAAATTGAATCTGCATTTATATTCAGTCAATTTATTCATCTTAAATAAGTCCAGTACCTCTCTCTAGTTGCTTTCAAAGATCACCTATTTAGTAAAGCAAGCTCGTTTCAATGAAATGCTATGGAAATGACAGCTGCAAAAGGACCAAGACATGAATCTCCACCTTAATGCATTGAGTGTCATAGAAGAGCAACCAGGAGGCCTACGGTGGCTTTGGAGGTTGAGCAGAGATCCACATTTAATAACAGAAAAACAATTAAAAATGCTCTTTCCAAATCTGACCCCTCTAGAAGAGTGGCAACATAAAAGCCATTGTAGAGAAGAAGCTTTTTAAAGGCGCATTTACAGTTTGGCCTTAGCCAAACAGGACCCAACAAACACATGGTTAGATGAGGCTTCACAACACTTGCAAATATCTCCACCAATAAATATGGGGAAAGCCTTTCCTTTAAAGATCCATAGTTGCATACAGGCAAAACTGTCAGAGGCTGCATTAGATTTGAGTCTGAGGCAAATGTTCACCTTCCTCTGCAGTGGAGATACAGCAGAATGAATTTGATCAAGGCATCAGCTTGTGTGTGATGGTCTAGTCAAAGTCCAAACCTAAATCCAACTGATTGTCTCTGATGAGGCCTGAGCATAGTTCTTCATAGGCCTTTCCTCAAGAATTGATTAAAAAGATTTATTCCACCATCATGTTAATGTAGTTCGCAAAATTCAAATAAGATGAACTGAATCTTTATCACTTTGGCGCAAACAGGACAATAGAATGTTCATTTGTTGCTTCAGATTATCATCATGAATTTGGAAATCTCAAACAAAATAGGTTTTAATAAGATGTATGTTTTAAATGCGATGTGTTGTAGTTCTGTTTAACCTTAAAGCCTTTCCTGCTGCAGGTCTGATCTTTGTGGTGGACAGCAATGACAGGGAGCGGGTAAACGAAGCCCGTGAGGAGCTGATGAGGATGCTGGCTGAGGATGAGCTGCGGGACGCTGTGCTGCTTGTCTTCGCCAACAAACAAGTAAAACCCTCTTTCGCCACCTTTCATATATTCCAGATGCGATTCTGTCCACATCCCCTCAGCTGAGGCTATCCTCACTCCATTTTTTATTTTTTAATTTTTTTGCACAGGACCTGCCTAACGCTATGAACGCCGCAGAGATCACAGACAAGCTGGGCCTGCACTCCTTACGCCACCGCAACTGGTACATCCAGGCCACCTGCGCCACCAGCGGGGACGGCCTCTATGAGGGCCTGGACTGGCTGGCCAATCAGCTGAAGAACAAGAAGTGAACAGCTGGTCAGGGAGGAGTGGGGAAGAGCCTGGGTGACAGCTCCAGGTAGAGGGTTACAGCAGGTCTGTTGTGTTTACAAAACAGAGAGAAAACACTGAAAAAGCTCCCAGGAGGTTGATTCTCGATGGCTTTCCCCTCACAGATACTTTTATCTTTCCATTTCTCTACTTTTTATTCATTTGACTCATTTGGATCTGTGGTGACTCTTCTTTTAAATGATTTACAAACAAATGGTGTCAAAGCTGATCTAATCTGTGCTTTCCAAACCAAATGCATAAATACTGGATTTAATACTCTTATATTACAATAAAGGTGTATGACTTTCCCGTTCTTTAAAATCTGTGATCAACATCAAATATTGGCGGCAGAGCTGCCTTATCTTGAATCTATAAACGTGCTGTAACATATAAAGACTGTCATAAACGTGTAGAGGGATAGTATTTTAGAGCATTAACTAAAAGTTTTACATGCGGTTCGCTCCTACAGGCTCGGATAAAAGCTTTTACTGACATGAGGTTGTGTCCCCTGATTTTACTCATGTGAAAGACTTTATCAGGTTCAGATTGTATTTATTTTGAGAAACATGAACTCTGCTGATTAGCGTGTTTCGTCCTTATTTGTTTATTTATTGATTGCTGTTATGCTCTGAGTGCATCGTATGAGTTACTCTCTTTACTTTTGTTTGTGTATTTACTTTTAAGGCAGCTGTTTGAAGAAAAACAATTAAAAAAGAGCAAGCCTTTATAGTTTAACTGTGCGTTACTGTCTCCCAATCTGCATGGAAACATCCCTTGTTCAGGCTAATGAGGGCTGCTGCTGTAAATATTAGAAATAAATGTTGTTTTTGGCCTTTTCTGGCTTAGAGAGGGTTAAAGACAACTCACCCGGCCTCGGCGAGGTGTGATATCCAAGCTAATGCAGATGACAGAACAGACAGCCACTCTGTTACCAGCTTAGAGACGGGGGGAAAAAAGTGCTGCTCAGACTGATTCAGCACACCATGTGATCGGCAGAATTAGTGCTTACTCGGTTCTGAATGTTTATTTATTCCAAAACAGTTTTTCTGCTGCGACGTATTCATCTGTCCGGCTCACATTGCTTATTCATTACACATGTCGCTTTTGTTAAGAAAATCTATGTGTGCACAATGTAATTTATCGCTGCCTTAGTCTTCGTTTGTTTTTATTTTCATTGTTTTGGGCTTTTTTTCTAATTTCATACCCAGATCTGGCATTTTCATTAGTTTTCACAGGGAACAACAGAGTGACTGAAAGTCATACTGCATCATAAAGCATGTTAATACTGTAAAAGATGTGTAATTAAAAGTGAGACATACTGTAATAGCCTGTTTCCTTCAGGATATATTTGTTAGTCACAATCACTGCTGCTGGTTGGATCAATGCTGTCATGAGTTTGTGTAAAGTTTACCGAACAACCTTCTAATATGCAAATAAGCATGCTTTTCTATGTCACCGCGCGGCTGTATATACTGTACGTTACCGTGGCAGCAGAGGCAATCCGCTTCCCTCCCAGTTAAACTGCTGTAGGTAGAGGAGGTCAGCGTGTTGGCCGCTGCATATAACTGACAACAGCTTGTGCGTGTGAGTGTGACGTGTTATCTATCATGTTCTGTTTGGTGTGAAATTTCATTTTGTGGCCTTATAATGTGAGTGGTTCATTTCTCTTTGATGACAGGTTTATGTGGAGAAGAAAACATCCAAGTATTTCACCTAATATCTGTGACAATGTTGTGGCTAAACGTCCTTCTTTTCAACATGATTATTATTATTATTATTGTTGCTATTGGCAGGATTGAACTGATCAAGCAAGGGAAAAAGAGGAGGAGCTATATTTTGTGTCGATGTGTCACCAGAATATTAAAGAATGAAATTGATTAAGAGGAAAAACATTTAGGATTATGAAGAGGAAGTAAACACAAACTGGTGTAAAAATTATGAAGGATCTGATTCCTGGTATTTCAAAAACAAATAAACAACCAAAATAAACGGATTTGTCTTGCTTCATGTTTTTTTATGTAACACAAGTCGCCAATCACTTCCACATAACACAGTTTTTTCAAATAAGTGGTCTTGAAATCTCTGGAAATCTCTCAAATTCTTTTTTTTTTATCTATTCCAAATTTAGAAATAATAATTCTTTTTTAAATATATTTTTTCCTAATTTCTAAGTCTAAATTTTAAAACATTCAGCCCCAAACCATTTATACACCTGATAGATTCAGATCTAAAATGAGTTTTATTCAATGTATCCAAGCTTAGAGTTAAGTTTACTGTAAAACAAAATAATACACAAAGGTTCTGTTTCCAAAAAAAAAAAGAAGAAAAGAAACAGACTTCTTTAAGTTTTATCAACAAGTGGATTTATTTATACTCCTTAAAATCTTCAGTAGATGATTCATATATGTTCTCACTGCTTTCTGCATCCTTCCACTAGTTAACAGGCTGAGTGTCTTTATGATTTGAAAGCCTCTTACCATCACCTTAATCTCTAGCCTCTGACCCAGAGTCTCTATTTGATTCTAGTCAGGCTTCAAGCAGAGCTGTTTAAAAAAATTAATATTGCTTCATCAAGTGTTTGTAAAATTTAAAGATTCCTTTAAACCTTAACCACCGTTTCCTGAAATTACAGCTGCAGGTATAAAAATGTCTCTACCAGCTTACACATCTGGAGACTAAACATTTGTGCCTATTCTGTTTACAGTGTTGCTCAGGCGTAGTTGGACTGGATGGAAAACATCTGTGCATATCCGTTGTCAAGTCTAACCTCAGATGTTCCGACTGTGGGACACTGTGAAACATGGATATGCTTTCGTCTAGATCGCCCCATTTTACTCTGGCTGCATGTTTAGGGTCACTGTCCTCTGAAATGTTTTCTTAGAGGACTGTTCATGAAAAGCATGGCTCTCCACTTTCTAGTATATAATCGTACTCGTCCTCCGGGTCACGGCATGGTAGCAGCTTCAGTAGCGATGGTTACACTTCGCTCTCCCCTGATACCGCCTCCAGCTCCTCTGAGGGAACCCAGAAAAGGCAAGCTGACTGCAGCAAAGAACCATGGACTCAGTGTGATTTTTATCTCAAACTCTACAGTACATTGCACTCACTCCATGTACTTGAGGTGTTTGGGAAATCTCAAGAATGCTTCAGTAGTGACTTTCAACTCATCTGCATTGTTGAATCTGGTATTTCCCCTTCTGATTGACTTAGTTTAGAGGTGTTTGGACAAAAGTGAGAAAATTGCATGACAGTGTAATATTTTTGTTAGTCACTTCAGAGAGTGAAACTCATATGGAACTATTACCCAGAGTAAATTATTTCAATCTTTAATTTCTTTTGACTGTGGCATGCAGGTAAAGAAACCCCAAAATTCAATGACTCAGAAGATGAGAATATTACTTAAAATCAATCAAAAATTGATATTTTAAGCCCAAAGTTAAGGGTTGTGAAAAGTAAGGCACTTTTTAAGCACTTAGTACCTTGAATGGCCTCATTATTGCAGGAAGTATTATGTTAATGCATCATGGCACAGAGGTAACCAGCCTGTGGCTGCGTATGTGCAATGTGCATATGCCTGGTCGGGTCTGGTGCCTCTCATCTTTCTATTAAAAGCACCCGGTTTATTGGGTATGGAGTTCAGATCAAGGGAGCGTGCTGGTCAATCAACTAGTTCAATTCAATTAATTCATATAGTGCCATCTCAAGGCACTTTACAGAGAAAATTAAATCGGATCATACAGTTAGACTGGTAAAAAATTATCCAAAGAAAAGCAACTGACTGCATTGAGTACTTGCAGGACACACTCCTCCTGATGAGCTTGTGGCAACGATATTCACTTCCATTTTGTTGTTGACTCTTCAGCAATCCCTCACATCAATCATGCATGTGGCGACAGTGAAAAGGAAAAACCTCGTTTTAACAGGAAGAAAGCTTGAGCAGAACAAGGCTCGGTATGAGGGGCATTCTGCCGAGGTCGATTAGAGGTTTTAACAGACCTGCTGTAAAATAAAATAGGCAGAGGAAAGCATGAAGTGCTCTAAATGTTCCGGTAGACAGCTGCATTAGCTATGAACTTGAGAAAACACAGTGTACCAACACCAGTAGATAACAAGATTCCCAAAACCATCACCATGGATTCTGCACCTCTCCATTCTTTCAGACACTGGAATCTTGATTTCCAAATTAAATACAGATCAGTTTTCTACAACAAATGACTGAATTGATTTTGCTTGAGAATCCCATCATGGCTGTAGTTCTACTTGCTGGTGGAGCACCCTTACCTCATTTATTCCTTCCACTCTATGTCCTTCTAATATGCTTGGATACAGAAAACTGATTACCAGCTACTTCTGCAATGACCTTTTGTGATTCACCCTCCTTCTAAAGGGTGGCCATGACTTTCCTCTGGACATTTGCAGGCCAACAGTCTTCCCAGTGATTGTTTGGCCTACTGACCCATGTTGAGATTAATTAAAGTAGAGGGGACCAAGTACTGGAGGGCTACCATCCTGCATCTTTTAGATGCATCTACTTTCTTACACAATCCTCTCAGCATATCATTCAGCCCTGCGGTGAACTGGTAACAAGCCGTTCATTTGATACAGATGCGATGAACGAGGGATTCATCTAGAGTTGCAGGATGGTACTGTAGCTAACTTTGGCACCTCTGATTTAAAGGCTCAGGAATCCTTGGCAGGTGTTTTGCATTAATTAGCTGATTAGGGTGTAATTCCATTGGGTTCCATAATGAACTTTATCAAAGTACTTTAATTTTCCTATACCTATTTGGGCTTTTTTTATTATTTGTAAGACATAATCATTAAAACTAAAGAGAAAAAGAGCTTTGAATACATCACTATATGTGTAATGATAAATAAGAAATTCCCTTTCTGAGACGGCTGGCAAAGAAATTGCACTTTTTCGCAAATAATTCAGATGTACCTGTACGGGTGTTGCCAACAACTTGTAAAGTGTGAAATGATTTCGCAAACATTGGACATGAACCAGGATGGATTTGACACATACGTAAATATGGGCCCTTTCCTTTTTTCAAAGGACAGCTGGCTACCCTGACCTGTACATCATCATTTGTTGATCACTTGGATAGCACCCTGGTCATCCCAGTAGGACCTGGTATGTTTAGCTGCTAGAAAAGCATTTCTGCTAGAAAAAAAAAAAAAAAAAAATCAGTCTGTCCCGAAAGTTTGTCAGCAGAGGGAAACATTTAATTCTTTAACAGTTTCTGGTAGACACCATAACTGATCTGGGCTTGATAAACCTAGAGTAGATGCAATCAGATGGCATATCTCCCATAATCATCACTGTGTGCAGAACTTCACACTGGAACTGAATTATCTTTAATAATCACCCCCTTACAGCGTATTCAGAACTATGTTAATAAGATTACAAATTAAATACAAAAATCAACTTTGAGTGCTCATTTTCTCCTTAGCCAAGGTAAAATGGGTTAGATATTATATGTCGTTCGTGAGTTTTTGGAAGAATAAACAGTTACCGCCTAAACTCTTGAATGCATTTTGCTATACAGTTCCATCAAAGCTTTATCAACATTTTCCTCCCATTCAACTTTTGATAATAGGGTTAAAAACAGCATTCTGTAAGCACTCTGCTTCTTAGAAATGGCTATTTGTTAATAAGGAATCTATTTAAACACAAACTTCACTTTTCAAATTAAAAACTGAAACAGTAGCTACATTTGCTGATGTTTTTAATCACAATGACTGCGATTGGTGAGGCTTTTATATATTCGAAATTAAATCAGAAGTTTACCCCATAATGAAAAATAGAATAAATAAATCTAATAAATCTAATTTTAGTAATTTATTTTACAATTTATTGGCCAATGTATTTAAAAACATTCTGGTTACATGTTTTGCACTTTGTTTTAAAAGAAGTTCTTTACTGAAAACAAGGTTTTCTTAAAGTAA